ACGAGCCCCCGCTCGCGTTGAGGAGGCCGCTGAGGCCGCGCGGCAGCGGTGGGAGCCCGGCCAGGGCGCAGCCCACGCCGCCTGGCGCCTCGGCCGAGGGCAGTCCGTTCATGGCCCGACCGGCGCGGAGGAAAACGCTACCTCCCTCTTTGCGGCACTCCGCCCAGGCCTCCGCCCGGGCCGCCGCAGGCAGGGCCCACAGGCCGAGTCAGCCACCTCCCGCAGGCCCCGCTTTGTTCTCGCCCCAGCTCCTGGACTCCGCCTCGGCCCCGCCTCCCCGCGTGGGCGGGGCCTCACTTAAAACGGCCCTGGCGGTCCGCGTAGCGCACAGCTGAATAGATACCAGGGCAACCCATAGAAGGGAAGCTGGAAGAAGGGCGAAAGAGGCCAGAAGGGGCAGACGTGCTTCCTTGGCGTTCTTTTTACTGTCCCATCCCATACACAATCTTCTGCACAATTACCCTCCCCTAAGGATCTAAAAGTGGGGGCAAAGAGACTTAGGCAAGTCCACGCTTGACTCTTAACGTGCAATGTTGGAGTCCCTACAACCCCATCAGCGTCTGAGCGCCTGGGGTGGGCATGAAGTGGGAAGGGTAATAGAATCAGAGCGCTCAGGGGTGAGGAGAAACGGTCGGGAATGAGTGGCTGCAGGGCGGTGCGAAACAAGGCTAGTTGCCAGCCCTCTTCCTTCTGCCTGAGGAGGCTATGGCCTCTTCCTCAGCAAAGGAGTATCACATAGTCCTCTAACTACCCTTCATTCTGATTGCAGAAACTGAGCAGAAATAAGCTCAACTCATCTTTCAGGGCACCAGGAAGAACAGACGTGGAAAGCGGAAAGGCCCAAAGTAGGAAGAAGGTAAGTGGAGCTAGGGCTGGCATGCACACTCTATCAAGAAAAGAACAAACCACACAGAGGGACAGCTGTTTTTCTACAGGATTTTTCGGGGGGCGGTGGGGGAAGGCGGGTTAGTGTTGCAGCTGCTTCAGGCTGTGCAGGGCCTCAGCACAGGCCCGGATAAGGCCACACAGCTGGATGCTAGTCTCCAGGGAGGCACTTGAACCCAGCTCAGCTGAGGCCCAGGTCAGCTTCTGCAGGAGGGCCGTCTGTGTGCAAGCCACTGCATCCGCATCTGGAGGCACAGCAGGAGGGGGTGGCCCCTGGGCTGCCTTTAACCCTGCTGCAGCTCCCTCACAGTGCTCCGGCCGGGGTACTGGGGGCTGGGCTGTGAGCCGAGAGCCTAAGGGCGGCTCTGCGGCAGAGGCGAGCTGGTGCTCCCGAGCTTGGGAGAGGGCGGCCTGGGCATTCAGTGCTAAAAGGAAAAAGTGGGTGCAAAGGTGAGGATGCCTGCCTGATCCGCCTTAGTCGTGAACCACCTCCTCTTTATCTCTTTGCTTTCCGTGCCCCTTAGTAAGGCAATCATCCAGCTCCCACCTATCCTTTGCGGAGCTGGGGATGGAACTCAGAGTCTAACTAATCCTAGGGAAGCGCTCCCAGTCCCGATGCACTTTCTTTTGTGTACCAAGCCTATTTGTGGGTTAGCTTTATCTGCCCATCAAGACTATCTAATGTGGGGCTGGGGATTTAGCTCAGCGGCACAGCGCCTGCCTGGCAAGCGTAACGTCGTGAGTTCGATTCCTGGTACCGGGAAAAAAGAAAAAAAAGACTATCTGATGAGCCGGGCATGGTGGCCCACGCCTATAATCTTTTTTTTTTTTTTTTTGGTTTTTCTCCGGTACCGGGAACCGAACTCACGACCTTGCGCATGCCAGGCAGGCGCTTTTGCCGCTGAGCTAAATCCCCAGCCCCCCCACGCCTATAATCTTAGCACGCGGGAGGCTGAGGTAGGAGGATCGTTGCGTGTTCGAGACCAGCCTACGCTACAAAGTGAGCTCAAAGCCAGCCTGAACTGCATAAGTGCATAGCGAAACACTGTCTCAAAAAGAAGCACACACACGCACACACACACACACAAACTATCTGATGGACCTCAGACTCTCCCACAGTATGACGAACAGCAGGTTTTTAGTGGTCTTAGGAAAGCGTCTTACTCCCGGCCCCACCTACACCCCCTCCCCCACTGTCACTTCCCAGGCCTACAGTTCCTGGCCATTCATTCGCACCACGCTGCTCCTGCAACAAGCATACCTAGCCCCTCACCCGGGTTATCTTTATCCACGTCTGAATCAAGCTCCTGACAAGCCACGCAGTAGATTTTCCGCTGTTTGTCTTGGAGGAGGATTGTCTGGGGACCAGAAAGACACAGGGCACGGATGAGACGCACGTTGACGGGGTCTAGGGGGCAGAACTCAGGAAAGTCCGTGCTGCCTGGCCCACAACCCCATCCCCAGCCACTCGCTTGAGTCTCTCCTCACCCCGCAGTCCGCGCACGTCTCGCCCAGCATGCGGTAACCGCGCAGCAGATAATCGCCCATGAGCCGGGAGATGCGATCCTGCCGTTCTCGTCGCGCCTGCAGCACCTTCGTCTCCGCCTCAGTCGGGGGCTCCCAGGAGAAATCGTCGACTTCTGGGGAAGAGAGACACAAAGGACCGGAGTCTTGCAGAAGCAAACTGCTTCCCGTGTTCCGCAGCCACACGCCCTGGCAGCCCAAGCCCTCACCAGCTCCGTTCAAGGCCATGTTGCCGTTGTCGCGGATGGGTTTACCGGAAGTGACGCACAGGCAGCGCGCCTTCGCTGAGGCTCCGCCCCTTTCATCTAAGCCGGTGATGAGGGCGGAAGTGACGTCTCTTGAGACCTCAGACCACTTTGCCCAGAGTGGGGTGTGTCAGCTGGAAGCTAGACCAAGCCCAGGAGGCGCGTCAGGCTGCTGCAATCCGGTGGAAAGCCCCTTTCCAGTGGAGGGCCGTTTCCGTTGTATCTCTTCTCTACTGCGCTCTCAAGGACTTGGAAGTCGCTTGGCAGGGTCGCCCTTCCTGGCCGTCGCGGATGGAGGGGACCACTTGGTTAGAGAAGTCCACGCTGGCCCCTACCAGCCCTGGGGTTTCCCTTTCCGCACAGCCCTTTCCGGGGGCCGGCGGGGTGGAGGCGTCATTACAACCATAGTAACAAATTTCTTACTTGCACCAGCAAGAAAAACCACGCGGAGGTTATTGTCATTCTGCCATTTCAAGACCCTCCCCTTCTTGCCGGGCGTGGTGGCGCACGCCTGGAATCCCAGCACTCGGGAGGCTGAGGCAGGAGGATCGTTGCGAGTTCGAGACCAGCCTGGGCTACAAAGTGAGCTCAAGGGCAGCCTGAACTGCATAGCGAGAACATGTCTCAAAAAAAAAAAAAAGGAGATCTGTCCGTTCCCCGCCGCCATGAACATTTTTTTCTTTTCCTTTTGGGTTTTGTTGTTTGTTTTTTGTTTAGAGACAGGGTCTTAACTACGTAGCCCAGGCTGGCCTAAAACTCAACAGCGATCCTCCTGCCTCAGACTCCCAAATGCTGGGATTACTGGCGTGTGACCCCACACCAAGCTGCGATCACTTCCTGTTGTTTTTTTTGTTTTTGTTTTTGTTTTGTTTTGTAGTTAAAGCCTCAAAAAGCTTACCGACTAAAGCCAGGAACCCCGTATCCTCTCTGCAGCCTTCTTAGAATAGGCAAAACTTGCTTTTTTTAAAATTAAATTTATTGGTACATTTTAGGTATACATAATGATCATATTCATCAGCGGGAGTTTGTACCTATAAATGATACATCTTTTGTTTCTTCAATCAAATTTTATTAGTACATTTTAGATATACATAATGATCACATTCATCATAGAGAATTTGTACCTGTATGTGATAATCTTGATTCTTTTTTTCCTCATTCCTGTACCCTCCCTTCAACCCTTCTTCCTCTCATTTATAAAAAGTTTGTTTCCATTTCTTTCTTTTCTCATTTTCTTTTCCCTTCCTTTCTTTCCCCCTCCCCTTCCCTAGTTTCCCTTCCCATTTGAACATTTTCTTTATATTTCACAATACCTACTTTACTTTTTTTTTTTTTTACTGGGGGGGGGGGTCTCAGTATGTAGTGCAGCCTGGCCTTGAACTCACTTTGTGCTCCAGACTGGCCTTGAATTCACAGGGCTCCTCATGCGTTGGCTTCCCAGCTGCTGGGATTACAGGCATGCACCACCATGCTTAGCTATTTTATTACCCTGGCACAAAGTCTTGCTAAATTGCCCTGGCTGGCATCCAGTTTACATTCCTCCTGCCTCAGCCTCCCCAGCAGCTGGGATTAAAGGCATGTGCCACCACACCTGCCTTGGATTATCTTTTCTTTTTCTTTTCTCTTATTTATTTATGTTGTATTTTTGAGACAGGGTCTTGCTATGCAGTTCAGGCTGGCCTTGAACTCACTTTGTAGCCTAGACTGGTCTCGAAACAGTCCTCCTGTCTCAGCCTCCCAAGTGCTGGGATTACAGGCATGTGCCACCATGCCCGGCTATTTATTTATTTTTTTAATGGTAGCAAAGTTTTATGAAAGGTAGGAAAAGCTGGGCATAGTCATGCTTGCCTTTAATCCCAGTACCTGGGAGGCTGAGGCAATAGGATTGCCATGAGTTCAAGGCCACCCTGGGCTACATAGTGAGTTCAAGAACATCCTGGCTACACAGTGAGACCTCCTCTCAAAAAACAAGAAAGAAAAGAAAGGAAGGAAGGAAGGAAGGAAGGAAGGAAGGAAGGAAGGAAGGAAAAAAGGAAGGAAGGAAGACAGGGAGGAAGGGCTCTACAGAGCAAATTTGGGCCAACTAAAACTAAAAAAAGAAGTATACCCTACAGCATGAGGGTGTGCCACTATGCAAGACTGAACACAGTGGTCCTTATTTATATATTTATTTTATTTTGGTGTGGAGATTTTAATCCAGGCCTTGCACATGCTAATTAAGCACTTTACCACTGAGGGACATCCCCAGCCCTTTTTATTTTATTTTAAATTGTCCAGGTTGGTCCCAAACTTAGGATCCTCCTGCCTCAGGCTCTGAGTAGTTGGGATTACAGGCATGCACCACCATGCCTGATCCTGAACTATCTTTTCAAGTATGTTTGTGTAGTGAACAACTTTGGACTGCAAAGATATTTCCCTCTAGGACAAAGGACAGGCATCCTCATTGCCCATTGCAAAAGGTGTATTCAACAGGGCATGGTGGCACATGCCTGCAATCTGGGCACTCAGGAAAGTTGAGGCAGGAGGATCAGAAGATCAAGCATAGCCTAGACAACTTAATGAGACCCTGTTTCAAAAAAGAAACAGTTCTGGGGATGTAGCTTAGTGCAAAGGCCTTGGATTCAATCTCCAGTATCACACACACACAAAGGTTTGGTTTCCTGTCCTATAATCCAACTGGCCACGTGTGTAGGCATGGATGTGGCATGGATGTGGGTCCATGAGTGTTGCCTTCATTAGACTTGAAGGGAAGAGGAAGCCATATACGTACACTCATTTTCACATTGCTTACTGTGCTATAATAATGTCTTTTGTTTTCTTTTTGAGACAGAGGCTTGCTATGCAGTTCAGGGAGGCTGAGGCAGGAGGATTGTTGCAAATGCGATACCAGCCTGGGCTACAAAGTGAGCTCAAGGCCAGCCTGAACTGCATAGGGAGATGCTGTCTCAAAAAGACAAAAAAAAGAGAAAACAGAACAAAAAACTGGGTTGGGCTTAGAGGTGTCCACCTATAACAGCACTTTAGGAGGCTGAAGTAGGAAGATTATAAATTCAAGTTCAGCCCAGGCAACTTAATAATTTAGTAAGACCTGGCTCAGAATTAAAAAGGACCGATGCTGTAGCTCAGTGTGAAGGACCTGGGTTTTCAATTTCCAGTACTGCAAAAATAAATAATTAATTAATCATAGTTCCAGGGCTGAGGATATAGCCCAGTGGTAGAGCACTTACCTCGCATGTGTGAGGCCCTGGGTTCAATCCCCAAAATATTATTATTGTTATTATTATTCAGGGTGACTAGATATATAGCTCAGTGGTAGAGTGTATATTCAGCATGTGGAGTATACTGTATTTTGTATATTGTGTAGTATATTGTACACTGTAGAGTGTGTATTCAGCATGAGGCCCTGGGTTTAATTCCCAGCACTAGGGAATAAGAGAGAGAGAGAGCTAGAGAAAGAAAAAAAAAAAAAGCCAGGCATGGTAGCACAGGCACGTAACTTGGGTACTTGAGAGGCTGAAGCAGGAGGGTTACAAATTCAAGGCCAGCCTAGGCAACTCTTTTTTTCTTTTCTTTTTTTTTGTTTTTGTTTTTTTTTTTTGGTCTTTTTGAGACAGGGTCTCACTATGCTGTTCAGGCTGGCCATGAGCTTACTTTGT